AAAAGCAAGCAAGTCTTCCGGAGAATTAGAGAAGGTCTTAAAACCTCAAGCCCATCCTTCTCACCCTTCAGTTTCTCATTCTTCTTAAGCAAACTAACACGGACGCGCTGCAGCTCATCCACTCTCTTCTTAGCATAAGTAGCGAAACGAAGCTCAGAAATTGCAAGCTTAAGATCTTGAATCTGAGGCGAATCAATCTCAGCAGCAAAGGGAGCAGGCTTTGGCGCCACTTTAGCAGCAGAGTCCACCTTACCACTCTTCATAATAGCAAGTCTCTACAAAGGTGAACCGGACTTGGCTCCCAAAGAACGTCCTGGTACAGACTTCGGCACTGGGGGCATGATAAAACCTTTACGCTGAGTAATCTTATCCACAATTGTACTATCCATTCTCAACATGGAAGACGCCACATGCTCATATCTAGCAGCCTTACATTTCTTCCCATTGGAAGAAGTCATGTCAATCACATACCTCTTGGTAGCAAGCGAACCCTCATGAGCAACGAAATAAGTCTTTGGTTTTTTCTCAGCCGGCATCTCTTGAGCGAGCAGAGAAGATCCATTTTCCCACCTTCACTTGCAGCATGATCCACAACAGTGATTGGACGAGCCAGAGCATCCGCTTTGATCCTATTCCCCTCATCTTTTGGGAATAGCCCACGTTTCTCCTGACGAAAAGAGTTAAAGTAGCCAACGTCATTCGTGGTACCTAGCAGGGAAGTTCAACCCAACATTCCAGCAGTTCATGAGGTTCGCAACCTCTTCATTTCTCTCAATCACCAGCCTAGCTCGAGTCATGTCCAAAAGCCTAAAAAGACATGAGCCATGTGACTTGCCTAACACTGCGCCCCAGTGCCACAATCCGAGGTCCCAGCCACACAAGCTGCCCTTGGTTCTAGCCAAGTCGAGCAGCTTAAAGCAGTGGTCCCTGCCACAATACCTCATCGGCCCATGCCGAGTCGACTCCTGGCCCATGCCAGCCGACGTGCCGCACCACCCCGACGGCTGCCCCGCGGTAGCACTATCCACGAAGAAGACGAAGAAATCAACGAAAGACGGTCCTTTGCACGGGCAAGATGTAGAAGATTGCTAGAGGAGGGGGAACAAATATCCTCTAAGCTATCTCTCTCTTGTAGGGTAGAATAAATCGCTCTCCAAAGTTGATTTAATAACCCACTTAAGGTGGATTTAAATAGGCTTTGAGAGAAATTTATTTCCCTTTCCTAGAAGGATCTAATTTCCTATTAAAGAGAGAATCTACATCAAAATAGGAAGCAGTCCTAAGTTTCCTAAAGCAAGAAGATCTCTACACCTGCTGCCCTTTTCTGCGAGCAGCCCAACAGGTGTGGGGGCATTTGTGGAGCCAAAAATATTCATAGGGCGACACGTGGATTTTTGGACAAAAATGACAAAAATACCCTTGCAGTACAACGAGGTTCCTACGCGCAAGCAGCGGACAACCCTCTTTCAACCAAGACAGAAGTGCCCAAAATAGGTAACAATTCAAAGTCCATCTCATCAAATCCTTTCTACAAGGTAATTCCCAAACACATTCCTTTTAAATTATGTTAATTGGCTAATTAATGGGTTTATTGCCTAATTAACCCATTAATTGTCAATTAAACCATCCATTATATCCAAATAACTACAAAATACATCCAATTCAACCTTAAAACACCACATGGCCGGCTATCCCCATTTCAAAACCTAATCCATCACTTTTTTCTACCTTTTTCACCATTTCTTCCTTTTTATTACCCAATAAATTCAAAAACCACCAAAACATTCATCTTATGTTTAATAGCCAAATAAATTGGCTAATTAAACCTAAATTAAACCTAAAAACCCTAGCCACCTCCTATTCCTATAAATATACTCCCATTCTCACCAAAAAGCAAAAAAATTCCAACACTTTGGCAAAAATCCCAAAATTCTCTAAACACTATTTCTCTCTAAATTCTAACTTGGCATCGGAGGTTCTTCGGCCAAAGCCCCCCAATCATCGTGGGCGCGTGAGGCTCTTGGCCTTAACCTAATGTGCTAGTTGTTTTGTATGTGCAAAATCGTCCAAGATTGAAGAGGAGAAAATTTGCATCCACAAAGGTAGTACAACTCGAGAATAGACAATGCTTGGCTGCTCAAGGATGAGTACGAACTTCGACTCAAAACTCTTCGTGTTCAAATCACAGAGTTTTGTACTTATGATTTTCATAGTATTAATCACACTCTAAATATCATATTTGAAAAAAAAAATGACTAAATAACTTTAATTTTAATTGATTTTTTTTATCTTTATAAAATGATTTATAATATAAACAATTTTAATAAAAAAATGCAAAATTCTGTAAATCGGCAAGAATTAATTTTGAGTAGGTTAGAATTATTTCTCGAGAACAACTTGAGCCCATCTCAATCACATGTCACTTCAAGGTTCACTTGCCTGCTTAATTGTTAATTCATCCATTCTGTTTCAATTCACAAGCAAGTCAGCAACCATCCATTGATTCAATGTTCCCATGTTATTACCATAATCACCCTTGTACTAGTTATTGCTCCATCACATAATTTTTGAGGAATGTACACAAATAATATCGGTTACAAATCTTTAATAATAAATAAAATTTGGACACTAAACAAGCAATAACATGTGTATAAGTCGCAGTATAGTACTCTTTCTTTTTATAAGTGATGTTAAGGGATCTGAAATCAAATGCAAAATCTAGATAATAGCGGTAAAATGTTATTTATCAACTGAGCTACAACCTTCATACTAAATACTCTTGTGTCTTTTGTTTAATGTCCTTTCAGTTTTATTTTCAATCAAAAGTTGCTAACTCATATTATTTACTTGCCTAATTTTTCCCATAAAAACTCAAACTTAGTTGAAATTTAGCAATCATTAAGAGCTCATTTAAAAGTGCTTTTAAAATGATTAAAACCATTTTTTATGAAAAGGTTTTTAGGATCCAAAATCACTTTCTGCAACAAGCATTAATTATGTACTTTTTGTAAGAACCAAGAAATGCTTCAACTCATTGTTATTAAGTATTGATTTTAAAAACACTTTGATAAAAGTGTTTTCAATTATTTTGAAAGCACTTTTAAACTTCTTCAGAGACGGGCAAAATCATAAAACAAAATTGTTGTTGTTTTACTTTTGTCTTTTAGGGCCAGAGATTAAAATTCAAAAGAAATGAAAAGCACAGAAGTAAAACTCCATACGTCAAAAGCAGAAGGCGCGAACAAAAAACCGGATCAGGCTACAAAATCAACGGCCCATAAAACTCATAAACCAATTACCTGGCGATTGAGCGTCGTTGGATCATGGCGATCCCAAAACACAGAGAGCAGATCCTTGTAGGGGCAGACTTCCGGGTCAAACTGGACCCGAACCACCTCCGCATGGTTCGTGGTTCCGGTGCACACCAATTTGTAATTGGGATCGTCCGCGTGGCCCTGGGAGTACCCGACCTCGGTCTTCACCACCCCTACCACTCGCTGGAACCTCAGCTCTGCTCCCCAGCAGCACCCGGATCCGAATTGAGCGAACTCGTGTCCCGGATTGTCCGGAGTATCCGAGTCCGGTCCCAGAGCCGGGTTGTTGACGGCGGAATTATCGGAAGCGGCGGCCATTATTCGTGCTGATTGAATTTTGTGGAGGAATGGGAGTGGGTGGAACGTTATGAAGAGGTGTGGTAGTTGAATATAGCCAGCCATACCCGGCCAGATACGGCCGTTGCCAACGGCTTACAATCACATGTATTTACCTTTCTAAATCAATTCAGCCAAACTATATCCATATGTCTTTTTTCTACTGTACGTCGACTGTTAGTACTGATTACACACTTATTTTTATTTCTCAACCACCACCGTTATTAATTTTTTGACGTTTAGTCAAATGAATTGAAAAAAAATTAATGGAATAGGATCCTCTACGGATCATTTTTATGAGAATCCGAAGAATCAATCAATCAAGTCCGTTTATCGTAAATCGTGCGTTTAGAAATCAAAATTTAAAATTGAATATAAGTAGTACTTAACGAAAAATGACTGCACGATATACAATGAATGGACACAATTGATTAATCTTTAGATTTCCACAAAGAAGATCCGAAGAGAATTCTCGTTCAAAATTAATAAAGTGTATACATAAAAATAAATATGAATACCACCATTTGTTTTTCTGTTGTAATTAAAAAATCATTGCACAGTAAAAGTAACGTCGGCGACATGCCGGATTGGTTATCGGCATGACTGGAAATCAGGCGGGCTTGCCCGCGCAAGTTTGAATCCTGCCGTCCACGTTTTTACACTTCCAAATTAATACATATTTTTTCTTTTTTGTTGGTGTACTGAGAGGGAGATTCAAACTTAAGTGCAAACGAGGAAACACGAAGCTGGTTTTGACTCCAGAAAGTACTAATCTATAAAAGGAAGGTTCAAACTTAAGTGCAAACAAGGAAACACGAAGCTAGTCTTGACTCCAGAAAGTATTAATATGTGAGAGGGAGGTTCAAACTTAAGTGCAAACGAGGAAACACGAAGCTGATCTTGACTTCAAAAAGTACTAATCTGTGTTATGTGAGTTGAGCAGTATTATTTGTGTGATGACTTGAGAGTGAGGGTTCACTTATAGGTTGATTTTAAGATTCGATCCTTTAAACCTCCAGAAAGGTAAGAATCTACTAGCCAATACCCTAGTGGTGAGGTTAGCGTATACCATGGCAATGGACAATCTCGTTATTTTACCATGCGTGGTAGGACTAGGGGATCTTATAGATCGGTAACGATACTGCTATACCCTAAAGCCTTTACTAATGCTGAGTGAGCATGAGTTTATGGTTATACCTTGTTTATGTATATCTACTCTCTCTAAAATTATCGAGTTGTAACACTTAGTACTACGGTCTAGTGATATTCCTCTTTATGAAGTAAGAAATCTTAATTCCGATTCTTGCCGGCAAATTTTGGATAGATTATTTACAACCAAGTGGAAGTGGGTTGGGTGCCACCGGACCAACTGCTCATGGTTGCAAAAGTTTGAGCTTTATTAATTTGAACTTTGAAGAGATTTCAAATGGCGTCAATGGCGTCCTGTCATACCTTAGCTACATTATCTTTTATAAACCCGTTGCCATCTCACAAAAACACAACCCCCATTGCCAACCTTAAATCCCAAGAAAGGACCTTACAATCTTCACTGGTGGGCACAGCAATAATCATTGGCAAAACAATGAGCAGCAAGATTGGAACAACATCTAGCTCTGCTTCTGCTTCTTCTTTTTCTACTCTTCCTTCTGCTCTTCTCTTCGATTGCGATGGTGTGCTTGTCGACACGGAGAAGGACGGCCACCGGATTTCTTTCAACAACACTTTCAAAGAGGTAATTTTTCACACTGGGTTTTCTTGCTTTTGGTGGATTGCTGTGAATTTTTTTATTGGTAAGCTCATTAAGTGATGAACTTTCAAGAGAAGTTGGAATTTTCGATCTGGGTTTTGTTGCTTTTGGAGAAATTAATTAGCTTTTCGTAAAGCCTTTTACTTTGATGGGAATTATTTGCAGAAGTCGATAACTTTCATGGGTTAATTGGTTTACTGACACTGTATAATTTGACTGTACAGAAAGAATTGGGTGTTACTTGGGATGTCGATTTATTCGGCGAATTGCTCAAGATTGCAGGTGGAAAAGAAAGGTAATTGCCTCTCCAAATATTCTATTGCTATTGCATTTGGCCAACATCTAATTTAGTTGCAGAACTTGAATTATGTTTGTGTTCAAATGGTTGTGGTCTTTGTAGAATGACAACCTATTTTAACAACACGGGTTGGCCGGAAAATGCTCCGAAGAGTGAAGAAGAAAGAAAAGCATTCGTAGTTTCACTTCACAAGCGAAAGACAGAGTTGTTCTTGGCCCTTATTGAGAAAAAGTCACTGCCGCTTCGGCCAGGGGTTGCAAAGTTGGTTACCATATCATCTTCTGCTTTTGCATAAGTTTGTGTGTTGTAGTTCTCTTGTATTTTCTGGTTTAACTTGCTAGTCTTCACTAACAATATTAGTCTTTCAAGCAAAATAACGAACACCTAAGTGCATTCCAGTCCAAGAAGTACGCGTGTTGTTATGGTCACGCATTTATTTACATCAGGCATTAAGGACATTAGTTTGATAAGAAAATGGAATTTAGAAAAATCAATCACTTAAGTAGTTTGATAAGAAAATGGAATTTAGAAAAATCAATCACTTAAGAATCCTTAGCATTTGGCTTTTAAATTTACATGAATGTTGTTATGAGTATACTAACAAGATATCGTATAAGTAGGTGGTGTAAGATTATCTAAATGTGTTTTCAAATTTCAGATGTTGGGTTGGTGAATTTCTGTTATCAACTTGTACAGGCTGATAGATCAGGCTTTAGCAGAAGGAGTTAAGGTTGCCGTCTGCAGCGCTTCCAATGAGAAGGCGGTATGCTTAATCAGGTTCCCCGGCTTAATTTCTTTTGTAATTAGTTTTTTGTGACAGTAATCTCCTCCGTCTGGTTTTTATGCAAGAACTGTGCAAGAAATCATAGTCAAACGCTTACTAATTTATCAGTCTTACACTTTATTTAGAGCATATGGTTAAGGTTAAAGATCTAAAGTTAAGGACTTATCAATAGGTACTGTTGCTCCAATACCCAACCAAAGGGCTACTTAGCTTAATTTTTGAAACAGTATACTTCTTACTATATCAGATACATATTGATGTATTTCTTATACATAGCTGACAAGCCTGACATCCCATTTTGATGTACGAACCCCATTTTCGTTTCAAGGTCTCTGCAATAGTTTCAATCTTGCTGGGACCAGAACGGGCAGAAAAAATCAAGATATTCGCCGGAGAAGTGGTTCCTCGCAAGAAGCCTGATCCCGTAAATTTTGATCCCTCCAGATGTTGGTTTCATGTTGTTTTGAATGAAATATCCTATTTGATTTTACAAGACACTAACATCTTTCCATGTTTTTGACAGGCTATCTATTTATTGGCGGCTAACACTCTCGGCGTTGATCCTTCAAGGTATATTACACCATTTACAGGGCAAGAAGGCCCAACTGATTTCTGTTCGTAATGGGATTGCATTTGAACTTTACTCCTCTAAGTGCAGTCAAGAGATCTATTTGCATCAGCTGCCCCATGTTTCTAGGATATCCGACTCTCGTGCTTAAAGCGCGCCTTCTGTTCATGACAAATAATACTGTGCTTTCCTTCTCCGCAGTTGTGTGGTAATCGAGGACAGTGCTATAGGCCTTGCAGCTGCCAAAGCTGCTGGAATGAAGTGTGTCATAACCAAGAGCGGGTAACCTACTTTCACTACATGAACAAAAATAGAGTTTGCCAATCAACTGTCTAACATGTTTAACTTGTTCGCTTCATCTCGTAATCTCTGGTTTCAGATACACAGTTGATGAAGATTTTCAGAATGCAGATGCAGTTTTTGACGTCATCGGAGATCCTCCAGAGGAGCGATTTGACTTGGCATTCTGCAGAAGCCTTCTCAAGCAATCTGTGAGCTAGCCTATACATTCAGTTTCCGACGGGTTAATTTCATTCAATGCCTGTCTTCCTTCTACAATCTTTGGATGGTGATTACTGATTAGGGTTTCAGCTAAGATGATAAAAGAGTGCTCGTGTGCATTTGGTAGTAGTCTGGATCTATGTGCATTTGGTAGTAGTCTGGATCTATGAGTACAAACCGGCTCTTCTCAATCAAACTATGTTTTCGTTTGTGAATCTCTCGATAGTGAATTATTACCATTAATCATGATTACCGTTTGATGAATATATTCACAAATAGAAATTAATCATAATATAGTTGTGCTACTCTACTTTCGATATTGAGACACAACTCATTCGAACCTATAAATCACATACAATTTTACAAATATTGTACAACGGAATTTGGATTTTTGGTTGAATGTTGTATAGAAGTGCAATAATAATAGCCGACCCCACTTAGTGGGAAAAGGCTTTGTTGTTGTTGTATAGAAGTGCAGAAGTAACAGAAGCACTGGCTATCACTTGAAGCTTTACAACCTCACTTTTCACTTCTCATTCTGTCAATTTGGTTCAAAGCTGGCCCAAGGATGTTGTAAAGCACCCAAAGTATAGCAGGAACAATCGGAATTAGGAGTGCGAGGACGCGCTTGTCACCTTCTCCAGTCGCCGCAGCCACTTCTGCAGCGAACGCAGAATCACAGGAAATCAAGGTGGAAACAACGGCGGAGATGATGGAAGTAATGCTTGGAGTTGATAGGAGACTTGAAGGATGTGAAGCTTTTCGGTTGATATTTGATGGAGGAAAAGGAAACAATTTTCATGGTTGGTTTGTAAGTGATCATGTTTTTGGAGGACTTGAAGGTGAAGCATCTGTGGCTGAGCGCAGCCATGGAAGTTCCTATCGTTGCAGCCATACAAGCTTTTTAGGTTTGGAGACTCCTAAATGAGAACTTATGGTATATAAACTGGTTGCAATAGCATTTCCTAGAATCCACATTCTTCTACACAAGATCAGTAAGATTTATTGGAGATTCTAGGCTCTCCCGGCCGATTTTTTGCCCTCTTAGCACTCGCCACGTGATTTGACGTGACTAGTGCAAATGGGGATGAGATATATTTTCGGTTGTATATGAGAATCTCTGACATAAAACGGGAATATACAAATGTGATGGTGTTATGGTGTCTCAAACCTATTATGACGCAACGTGTTTTAACGTATGTGTTTTGGCATTTTCATATGACATTGCGTGATTGATTTAAACACCACAACCTTAACGTCTTATTTCACGTATGCACTTTGTTTGTCTGTTTTATCGAACCGTTAGTTGAAACTAGTGGTGGAAAACCAATTGTCTGGATACCTCCACTGTTTGCAACCTTCACCATCAAACTGTCGTATGGTACTTTTCCACATGACCATCTCAAAACAAAAATTTCTTTACAAAACAACAAATTTTGTTCCAATCAATATGCACTTGCCATGCCCGGTACAGGGCGTGACAGCACTACAACCCTCCCATCAAATGTAAGAAATTGAAGGATCTCTATTTTCGAAGCCAATGGATTTGAAGACTCGAGCTGTTTAAGAGAGAGATCTGGATCATTCAAGAGCTTGGTTTTGTGTAAGGTGAGGTAATGAAATGAGTTAATGAGAGCCGCAATATTTAAATTGAGTGGTCCGGATTCATAAGATGAATTATGTCCATAACCAATGCCTTTCGCTTATAATAATCGAGATATTAAGGGCCACTCAACCACTTTATTATGTATTATTTATGCCTTAATTGTTAATCCTATTAAGTTTTTCATTTTTGAGTACTGATGTCTAAATTGTTTTCAGGTCTTCTCTTATGCACGCTTCAAAGCTAATTTGTGATACGCAAAGTTATATAGGCATCATTTTCAAACTTGTATTGTGATACCAAATATATTTTGCAATTTTGTAACACACAATGAACAACTCACATTCCAAATATGAAACACATTCATTAGTTTTTTTTCATACAGATTACTGTTACACATGGATTACCTCATATATATATATATATATATATATTAGATGACCAATATGAGATACCACCACAATCAGTAATACTGCACATATATATATATATATATATATATATATATATATATATATATATATATTAGATGCCCAATATGAGATACCACCACAATCAGTAATACTGCACATGGACTGAGATTACCCTATGCATACACCACCAATCACTCCATGAAAACGCAAACTCAAATCATTCACTTCAGACCTCATCAAATTGCTTTTGCGTGTAAGTGTTGGTACGCTGGCCTCTTCTTTTGCTTGGTAAACTGAAAATTTGATTTTGACAAGTTAAACAAATTAGATAAATTAAACAGCATAAAACTAGTTAAAGAACAACTGCTATTAATTCAAAACAAACCCTAAAACCAATCATATTCTTATTCGAAGCAACCCAAATGCAACTACAAGACCAATCCAACCAATCAATTAGAATGAATAATGTACGCCATTACCTTATGATGAAAATAAAGCTTATCATCATCCACAATTTCTTTCATGTAATCATGCCACTTGTCATAAGATTGTAGAACTAAGTTAGAGAATTGGTTCTCTATATATACATCATTGTAGTAGCTTCTACAGTAAGTAATGAAAGCATAACAGATTTTTGCAATACTTCTCTCTAAGATTCTCTCACTCTTCTTAGAAGCAAGATAAATAAATGGGAAGAAGATTTTGAAGGGTGGCAAGAAATTGGACAATGGCCAAATACTATCACTAGTAAAATTAAACTCTTTAGTTCACTCCAATACCTAAGACTGAGATAACATGCTTTATATAGGCTGTGACCAGTGTTAAAGTATAATCTAAGCACGATGCTTGTTCTAAACTTGGTGTGAAATAAATATTTTTAAAGTAAGTTTAGAACAAATTGTGCTCAAATTATGCTTTAACGCTGCTCAAAACCTACATAAAGCATGTAATGTCTACTTTCATACATTTCTTATTTTCTTAACAAAAACAACAAGCATGCCCTTGTTTTGAAAATTCTCTCACGCACATTTTATTTTACAAATGAGCGGCTGAGATTTAAAAAAAAAAAATTGGGCGGATGAGCAAGGCCCTACCTTTTTCTTGCTCATTAAGCTTTGGGCCTCTTTTAAATTGGGCGGATGAGCAAAGCTCTACCTTTTTCTTGCTCATTAAGCTTTGGGCCTCTTGCCAAATTTTGGACTTCCCTTGTCCGGCTAATCATATTTCTTTTCCTTTGTAATTTAGGCTTAAAAAACTTATTAAAACACTATTTGAGTTTATCGGAGATTCTCGGCTCTCCCGGCGGATTTTTTGCCCTCTTAGCACTCGCCACGTGATTTGACGTAACTAGTGCAAATGGACATGAGATATATTTTCGGTTGTATGTTAGAATCTCTTACATAAAACAGAAATAACAAATATGATGATGTTATAGTGTCTCAAACCTATTATGACGCAACATATTTTAGCGTATATATTTGGACATTTTCATATAATATTACGTGATTGATTTAAACTTCACACTCTTAACGTCTCATTTCATGTATACACTTTGTTTATCTATTTTATCGAACCGTTAGTTGAAACTAGTGGTGGAGAACCAAGTGTCTGGATGCCTCCACTGTTTGCAACCTTCACATCAAACTGCCGTTGTTTGGATCAAAACTTGAAACTTTGGGCTCAAGAAAGGAGCTAGCCCAAAAGGAGGCCCGAAGGGAAAGATAGTCGAAGCCCAGTCAAAGCTCAGAAGGCAGAAAGGGCATTTTCTGACTTGGTGCAGCTCATGAAGACCACTTGCTTACCTACCCAAAGGCCAAGTGGTATAGACTGACCAGCTACATAGCCCATAAAAGTACTTTATGATGGCAGTACATGTAAAAAAGCTGATGAGTCATCACCCTTCAAAACCGCATTCGGGCAAGGTTGCTGCTATAGGAGACCAAGCCGAGTTGTCTATATAAGAAGAAAGAGAAACTAGGAATAAGGACACTCAATCAAACAAACAAATGCAAGCACAAACTCTGCCCAAAGCCAGATTTGCCTTCAAAACGAAGCAGTAGTCAGCCCAAGCATTCATCCCTCTCGGGATAAACCTTCATCCCTCGCGGGATAAACCTTCACTTAAACTCTTGTAATAGCTCTGCTACCTCGTTCAACCTTGCTGTAGTATCGATTCATTTTTGTAAATCTCTCTCCCTCCCTGAAGCTTTCATACCCTTGATAAACCACAAAGATAGGAACTTGCAAGATGACCAAGCTTGCCCGACAAGGTTAAACCTTGCCCGACCTTCTTTGTTTTTGTCTTTTCATTCAGTAGCCTAGCAATATGTTGTATGTTTCCAATTATATTCAAGTAATTATTTCTAGCAAAATGACTATTAAAAGGCTTTCTCAATACTTGGATCCGATTTGAATATATCTTCAGTGTTCAAACCAGATCCAAGTCCTAAGCCCTCGGGCATGTAAATCTGATTAGTTAAAAGTCCTTGGCCTCAAGGCATAAAAAAGAACCTTATGTGGACTTAACCCATCCACGACAAGCCTTGATAAACGAGAAGTCCGAAGTTACTTGGGGCGCAAGTAATCGACCTACCTCTTAGTCTTATTGCTATTACATTATGATTATCATAGAACGCTTAAGCATGGGAAGGATTCTGATAGGAAGCCTCAAGGCCTACACCTAAGGCCCCACAAAGGCACCTATTATAACTAACACGGTTTCTCGGGGATATACATATACAACCAAAACTCGACATCCATTTCATATCTGCCATATTAAAGATGGCAGTGGCACGCCTGAGCACTTAAAAGTTAACCTTGATTGTGAGCCTCAAGGCCTACACCTAAGGCCCCACAAAGGCACCTCTCAAAGTTAACTCTGTCCTTCTCTTTCAGCCTTGCCCGAAGAGCCTTGCCCGACAGCAGCCCTCAACCGGCGCCAACTTCCCGGGGAGCTGTGTGCTCGTCGGCCAGGAAACATCCCCGACGGAAATTCCTGACGCGAACATAGTTTTGGCACGCCCGGTGGGACTCTACATGGATCAGAAGATATATGTCAAAATGCCAGAAGATTTGCAAACCACGTTACTACAAATGTTACAAAGATTGGAGAAAGCTTCCACAAGCTCTAGAAAAGAAACAAACCTGGTTCTTCCCGAGGGAAAGAGACTTAAAACCAGCCCACCTGAAGAGTTGGTGGTAGATAAACCTGCGGTTCCCTTTTCAGAAGCCCCCGTAAATATGATCAATATGGCATGGGTTGAAAAGGGAAAAGAAAGAATCACAAGGGAACCAGGGGAAGAAAGATTGACTGAAAAACCTACCGGAGGGGTGATTAAATCGCCCGAATATCCAAAAGCAGCCATAATCAAGGGGATGGTTATGTGTAGTAAGTGCCAATGCGAGTGTGAGCTCGAAATTCCCCCGGCTGGAGTCCTCATTGATCATGAACTAATCAGGAGGAAGGAAGATGATGAAAGGAGGAGAGCCCATGAAAAAATCAAGCAGGCTACGAAAAAAGACACTTCCCGAAGCGTTTTTCAACGATTAGGAGGTGATTCCCAACCCAAAGCTTTGTCAGAAGTATTTCGAAACCATGAGGCTTCTGAAGAGGCAGAAGATATGGAGGCCAAAATACAGAGGGGTACAGATCATCCTCAATATGGCCAGATGGGAAGGGAAATCAAGAGGATGGATGGGATAACAAATCTTGTCATAAAAGAAAAACCTGCCCACCTCAGGCGAAAATGGTACGTAGTCGGAAAGAACGGACAGCCTACCAAACAAATGGGAGCCTCCATGGTCAGGAGAGTTCAAAGGCAGCACAAAGCCTACATGAATTCCCTGAAGACCTCTGCAACATCTGAAGCCTCCAAAAATCAAAAATTGGAGAAAACATCATTTGGGGGAAATAGTCAGCTCCACTAGAGAAGTAAGAAAGAGGTGGAAAAGGCCAATAGCAAGACGGAATGCGAGGGGAATCACGTGCCGCAGAGCCAGCACCCTGGGAAGTATCGGATCTTGAGGAGAGCTCAAGAAGATCTGGTCATGGTGCCAACCCCCGGGTGGAATCCAGAGCCTATTTGCGTTGGAGCTGTTTCATCTGAAAGGAGACCACCTTCTCTGCCTTTGGTGGATCCTTTTAGTGAAGTTCCAAGGCAAACGTTGTATGCGGGCATGAATCAACAGGAAGGGGCACCAGAACCACTACTTCCAGCCGATGCAATGGCCTGGTTGGACGAATTCATGGACCAGGTTGGAGGCAATAAAAAAGATCTGCCCGAGCCTAGTAATTTTCATATCAACATGGCGTATGTATTATCCGCCATGTTTGGTGCCAGACCTGATCAGCCCGCTACTATGGAAGATGATTACTTGACAACTGGGCCAATGATGGCATATGTCAATGTGGAGGTAGTCGAAGAGGGAGAAGCGGGTAAGGCTGAATCCACTAAAGCGTCCAAAGATAGTCATTTCAGGATTTATACAGGCGAAATGGTGTTTAGCCGCCCGAACAGCTCGTTGGCCAATCATCTGAAGCCCATATATGTTACTGCTCATTTGGAAGGTGTGCCCTTCAAAAGAATTCTAATTGATGGGGGAGCAGCTGTTAATGTGTTACCAGCCAAGCAAATGAGGAAAATGGGAAGAGGCACGGATGATCTTATTCCCACATACCTCACGGTCTCTAGCTTCTCAAGTGCTATCACCAAAACTCATGGGATATTGCCTTTAGAAGTGGATTTGGGATCTAAACAGATCATGCTGGCATTCTTTGTGGTGGACTGCACTTCCACTTATGGGGCCTTACTCGGAAGAGATTGGATCCATCAAAGCCTGGCCATACCCTCCACTCTTCATCAACAAGTGTCTGTTTACCATGAAGCGGGCATAGAGAGACCAAGCTTTTGGGAGACGGTAGAAGCCGAATCACGGCCATTTCTCCCCACAGCCAATGTTGCAGAAGCAAGTTTCTACAACCCCAACGTGGGAATCTTGAAGTGTTCAGGAGCTGACGAGAACGGCCGCCCTACCAAGGTGACGGCCCAAAAGCTTTTGGAACAAGGAATGCTCATTACTAGAGAGGAGTGGGATAGACCTTGTATCCTCCCAAATCCCCTACACCATCAATGAATGAACAAAAGAAGAAAGATCAGGTAACGGCAGTCAGATCCCTGATTAAAAGACTGTTGGTATATGGGAAGGGAAGAAGACAAGAAAGGGAGCTCTTGGACAAAGAAGTGCAGAAATGGCAGGTGGGAACTTCAACCAGCCAACATGAAAGCAAGGAGGA